ATTAGGAGCGTTTCTCACAGGCATACAATGGAAGGTTTTGCTACATACAAAGTATTCATGTGCAAAGCGCATTTGGTTGCCACATATTACTGACAGAGAACTTTCCCAGTGAATTTTCCCAGTGATTATGCATTACATCATTGTTCTAGCAATTATGCAGACACATCATTATTGCAGTTATGCAGACAAATCATTATTCTAATAATTGTTCAATTTACTACATTAAGCATATCGATGCATGGTTCAGTTGTTGAAAACTTTGCAGCCTGTCATATATTTTTTTTTAGTTAAGCAGTGGATATTATAATGTTTTGTTTGAACACCAATTATATAGCCGATTCTATGGGACAATGATACAACAAGACACAGCGAAATTAAAGACTTTTTAGAAACTCTCTAAAAAGCAGGTGGTTTCCTAGTAAAAAAAAAAAAGAGTGATGTGAGCAACATAAGCTTTAAGGCTTTTTTTTGTGAATTCAAAGACCAGCCACAGACGACAGATCTAATCTCCAAGCTCTTTGGAGCGCAGCATGCCATCTCCTACAGCAGCGTTTCTCAACTTTGGCCGTTTTTAAGATGCATGGACTTCAAGTCCCAGAATTCCCCAACCAGCAGGATGGGGAGTTCTGGGAATTGAAGTCCACACAGCTAAGGTTGAACAAAACACAACTCTAGAACACGTACCCCTTCTTCCTCGCCTACCTCTCCCTCCTTCCCCTTTTCCTCCGCCCGCACCATTCCCACTGCCCCGGGAACCGCCTTCTGACCACCGCGCACAACAACTCCTTTTTCGCATCAGCTCTTCCACCACTCACCAAAAACAAAGAAGCAAACAACCCGGCGTGGCCATGGCCGAAAGCCCGCCAACGCTCACGCCAAAGAAAAACCCTAGAGCGTCGCAAGGAGAGGAAGCGGCGCCAGCATTCGTTCCGTTCTCTCCGTCACTTCCGGAGAGGTCAAAGCGGGATAGGAAAAAGGGGGAAATGAAGAAGAGAAAGGATCAGTCAGCAAGAGAAGTCCGCTGAGTAGGAAGTTTAGGCAGGGGCTGCCCTTGCGGAGAGATACGTGTCAGCGCCTGAAAGAATCCAACATCTATTTCTATTGAGGGCACAATGCCTGGCAAAACAAAAAAATCCCAAACCCAAATATCAGGGCTGTCCCCGCCCTTCTTCCTCCCTCGCTGTCAGTTACTGGAGAAGGCGGTTCGCTGAGCGTAGCGGAATTTTAGGTGTCTTCCTTTCCCACGTTATGGCTGGTTCTTCGGGTCTATCCGTAAGCAAACAACATTAGGGAGAGCGAGAACAGATTTCTCCGCCTAATTCTACCTTTGCCTTCTTGCAAGCGCTTAGGAGTAGCAATAATTAGTAACATACGTAGATATTTCTCTGTGTCTCTTTTGTATCTCTCTTATTACTAGATTTTTATAAAAACTCGAGGCGAATATATTTAATATTCTTGCCTCCTGTGTTCCTCACAACAACAACCCTGAGAGGTGAATTGGGCTGTGGGAGAATTGGCCCAAAGTCCCCCGAGCCAGCTTTCGTACCTAAGGGAAGCCTAGATGAACTCGCAATATCCCCCGTTTCTGGGCCAGCACCTTCACTACTATACCAAACTATTTCTATTAATATCTAGATAAATATTAAATATATAATCTTATATATTTAAGATTAAAGTAAAAGCTGTTGTTTGATTTCTCTATATGGACAATCGAAGAGAAAGCTCATCGCTTGGAAAAATAATTGATTTCTGATAACTCATTTTGATTGGCTGATCTCATACAATATGCTGGACTAAAATGTTAGCTAATTTATGATTCAGTGACTAAACTGATCAAAGACTTGGACTCAGTCACAAAGAAACTAGGACAAAAGATACTATTGAATTGCAGGATAGAATAACATCCTAAGTCAGATTTCATCACAAATGGCTTCTTGAGGGAAACACAATTGCCTGGGTTCATGCAATTTGCTAGGATTAAAAAAAACACTCACTAAATTTTGGCTTAGCACAATGTTAAGAACCAAGTCATTTAATATTTTCAGATAGAAAAAAAGTGTAAATAATGACTTGTTCAACTCAGTTTTGATTCTCACAGACTACGGACACATGCAATTTTCTTGGTAACTTGTGGCAAGTGAAATATGTAATAATATTTTATCTGCCAATAATCACGACTAGTAGATTAAACTATAACAAAATTACTTGCCATAGTTTTTCAATGTACTGAATGGCTGACTGAGGAATTTTCCTAATTCAGCCTTTTCCTTCTGTCTAATTTTCAGTGTTTCTGCACACATAAACTCTAAGCATATGAAAAGGCAAATGTGACATGGAACTTTTCAGCAACTATATTACATCTTTATTATTGTAATACAGCTTGTAAACTCTTCCAATACATATTTGATAGCTGAATATAAAACTGGAAGACTTCCTTGCTTCCTTACTTTTCAGTGTTTACAATGTGTGGCAGAGTATACTTTTAAGAATGTCTGTTGCTTTGTCTGTATATTGAATGTCCCCATTAGCCCAGCTTCTGATAATTATTTCTTGAACCAATGTTAACACATTTTTTTCAGCATCAAAAACTTAGGAATTATGTTCAGATGTAAAGTTTTTCGCTTGGCAGAGATATGTTGGTTTAAATGGGCAAAGAAAAACATTACTTGTGTTCAGCGCTACAAGACTAACCGAAAGAGCACTGGGGAAACACTACTAAGTGCATGTCAGTCCACGGTTAGTACCAGAAAAAAAAAATATTGCAAAAGTCTATGTTAAAGATTTCATTCAATACATCCAAATCTTTGGCCAACAAGTGGGTATATTTAGAATTTTGAGAACCTGTCGTGGGACAGTTTCACAGAATGCCCATTGTGTATTCACAAAAAGTAAACAGGTATTCACAAAATGTATTAGATGGTTAACTGCTGATGAGGATGTTCCATGCCATCCCTTCTTGTCCTCAAGATGCTACATATCACCCCCAACTTACCTTGTCTTTTTCTGGGAAAATGGACACACTTCCTAGCAAAATAATGAGATGGGCCAATCATAGATTTTATTTTCCGAAAATACCTGTATGGTCATATTGGGCTGAGAGGCCTTACTGATAACCCTGTTGGTGGTATTTTGGCAGCTATCTAACTCTTTTAAAATTAAAGGAATGTTTTAAAAATTTTGGGAGGGAAAGAAATTTATAGACACTGATGGACTCATTGATGTGCTTTGGCACCACACTGAAGATCCCAGATACACTGAATTATATTAGCTCAAGATTGCTATAGACCTAATTCCAATCCATAAATGAAAATGTATTTCATAATCTTTATTGAAGAAGGGGATCTTGGTTGGGCTCCAAAAACATATTACTTAACTAAGTGCTTGGACTTTTTTCATGGATTAAAAATAGCTAAAATTGTTTTTTATCCATTGGGGCAAGAAGGACTTGACTGAGGGCATTATTAACTTAGGGGTCAGTAACTAATAGGCTTTAAGCCAAGTATAACCACCTGAGAAGTGCCGCTTGTTCCAAGTTCTACAAATCTTAAGAGAAAGCACTGTGGAGGATAACATCTGAAGTAATGAGCTTAGATCATTTTAAGAAACTGGGATTTTTGGCCACCTCTCTAAGCAAAATATTTTGGCTAGCTCTATAAGCAGAACCATTTTTAAGCTACTGCACAATAAGCAGATAAAAAATAGAGGAGCGACAACTAGTGATTATCCTTTCAAACTGCCTTTGATATGAATTGAATGTACAGGATATGCTGTTACTGATCACTTGCAGTAGGTTATCCATATTCGAAGAAAAGATCCAGCTTCTGTGCTACATTTGTGATTCAGAATAATCTAAAGCATCTTCCGGGGATTGAATCTAAAGTGTTGTGTAGTCCTGGTATATTGGGATATTTCTTTAGCAGCCTGACTCCAAGCTATTTAAGATATGTAGGCTAACGTCAACACATTGACCTGGGCCCAGAAATGATAATGCAGTGCAGTACATAATGGTTATCTCCTAAAAGACCTTCATTTTTTAGGATTTGGGGATCTAATCACCTATTCCTAGTGATTATTGTCTGTCCATTAAGATCAGTAACAGAAGATGTCACCATTCTTTAGGAAATGTTATGTACAGACTCCACCAAACAGTAGTTTAAAATAATAGTATTTTACAAGCCAATATATTCTTCCCACTCAAGAGTCTTATCTTTATCAGTATACAAATATCAAAACCCAAGCAATTCTTCCCTAATCCTGAATTTCCAGGCAGTATGCTAAACTTCAATCCTTGGTTATTTAAAAGATTAAATACTTCTTAACACACTTACTTGCTTTCTCAGTTGAATGTTTCTGATCATCATCTTCTCTTTCAGTGATTAATATTTATATGTATTTATATGTAAGGGTGTAGGTATATACATATGTATGTATGTAACATGTTTATATGTGTGTTATGTATGTGTACCCTTTTGAGAGCAGGGAACAGAATTTCATTTTTAATGTGCGCCAGTGTGCCCACGGTAACAAATGACAATAAAGGTTATCTATCTATCTATCTAGATTATGGAAAAAGAACTGCCCAGTGTTTTGATCTCTGAAATAGGCGGTGCATTTGGTATATTAGAAAGCCATGTAGAGTTTCTGAAGAAGCAGACGTCCTTAATCCTATCCAGGACAGATAGATAACTCAGAGGAATAAACAGAAAATATCACTTTATTCTGGGAATCCTAAACAATAACTTACAGTTATGTAGAGATACGTCCAAAAGTATATTTCAGCAATATTGGATCATTCCACAGGTAAATTGATAATGGATTTTCCCCTCTTCTTCTGCATAAGCATCACATGTTGGCATAGGACCTCCAAGCCGTGTGGCTAGGAGACATGAGGCTGGATGAACAAAGGCATTCCAAACTGGGCACGTAGCCAGTATGTCCTGAGAAGAGCTCAGAGGCTCCTACTACTATTGACCTGTTAACATGGGATGACTGACTAGCTAAACTACATTTCCCATAATCCATCTCTTAAGGAAACAGCACTTAACCCAATAAATGGTAGATATTCTAACATACAGATACATGCTCTCTAGTTAGGGTTACATAGAGCTATACGATTCAGAACAGTGTAGGTATACACATGTATGTATATAGCATGTTTATATGTGTGTTATGTATGTACACTTTTGAGAGCAGGGAACAGAATTTCATTTTTAATGTGCGCCAGTGTGCCCACGGTAAAAAATGACAATAAAGATTATCTATCTATCTATCTATCTAGGTTATGGAAAAAGAACTGCCCAGTGTTTTGATCTCTGAAATAGGCGGTGCATTTGGTATATTAGAAAGCCATGTAGAGTTTCTCAAGAAGCATTTCAATCTCGTCACCATGAAGGAATTGCAGAAAAGCAAAGAAGAATTCCATGAAAAGATCAAATCTGTTTTTGTATTTGAGCGTCGACCAGCCATTGACCAGGAGCTTCTTGAAAGCCTGCCCAACCTAAAGGTGGTTGGAAACTCAGGAGTAGGAGTGAATCATTTGAATCTGAAATTAATTAGTAGCTTTGGAGTTAAAGTGACCAACACTCCACGTGCTGTTTCTGATTCTACTGCGGACATTGGGATGGCATTAATGTTAGCATCCGCCAGAAGATTAGTTGAAGGTAAATAATTTTCTTCTCCAGTTGTTTGGCTAATATTGGGCTTTTCCTATGATTGTTTTAAGCCCACCATCTGTTTCTTCACATACTTATTTTCAACTAGCTGTTTTGAGTAAGCAAGAATTAGAGCTGTAAAAAAGCAACAAATATCATTGTAAAATTGATACTATAACAACACCCATGATTCCTCTATATGATTTTTAGAGATATTACTCAACTCCTGCCACTTAGAATACTTTAATCCAGGGGTAGTCAACCTTGGCTCTTTTATGACTCGTGGACTTCAACTCCAAGAATTCCTGAGCCAGTTTAGCTGGCTCAGGAATTCTTGGAGTTGAAGTCCACGAGTCATAAAAGAGCCAAGGTTGACTACCCCTGCTTTAATCCGATGTGATTCAATCTGAAGCCCTCCAGGCTATCCTTATATGTCCCCTCTGTGAGGGAACTCCTTCCCTAGAAAGTCAGTGGAGAAGCTGGCAGGGAAGATTGCAAGCTGCTGTCAGTTGCTGAGAGGACTCCTTCTTGTCTCTGGGGGCTGGCTGAAAGAGCTGCCTGCTGAGGGGAACTGAACTCCTTTGGCAGGGTGGAGAAATGGAGCTCAGCTCCTGAAAGTCTGAACTCCATTCATGATGTTCCCTTCCAGGTGCGAAGGGGAGCCGAACTCCTTTGGCAGGGTGGAGAAACAGAACTCAGAAAGTCTGGGCTCCACTCCTGCACCCTGCCAAAGGCATTCCTTCCATGTGCGGAAGGGAGCTGAACTCCTTCAATGGGGGTGGAGAAACAAGAGTTCAGATCCTGAAGATATGAACTCCATTCACGCACTCCACCAAAGGTGTTCTTTCCAGGCACAGATGGGAACTGGCATGTGCAGAAATGGGACTTAAATCCTGATGATTTCAAATCTGTTTCTGCACCCCATGGAACTCTGTCAGCCAGCCCCTAGAGATGAGAGGGAGCTGAAATCCAAGCAGGATTTTCAACTCCTGAGTGGAGAGGCAGTGTGGTAAGGAAACAACACAAGGGTGCCTTAGGGGTGGGAGAGGCCCATTGCAGGCCATGCACAAGTGTTTCTCCCCCCAGGGGCTGAAAATCCTGCTTGGATTTCAGCAGGAAGGATTTTTGCCTCCTAAATTCTCCACTCCCCCACCCCCCAAGAGACACCCCATACTCCTTACCTGGGACTCGGCCTACTTAACGACCCACATAATTGCTTAATGACTGCAACCTGTGAATGTAGGGATTGTGGTTGTTGAGCGAAGCAGTCATGTGGGAAATCACTTAACACTTTGCTTAATGACCAATATTCTGGTCCCAATTGTGGTTGTTAAGCGAGGACTATCTGTAGTGGGAGGAAGGGAGAGAGAATGTAGCATCTTTAGAAGAGAGGTATATCCAGTCTGGAAAGCATTCTGTGAATCTTATACGAAAGGATAACATGATTGTTTCAACTCTTCATACTTCGTTTTTTTAATGCTATTAAGATTGGGAGGTTACAAGTATTGTTAAATAATTTTAAAAATGAGTTGAGATTAAGCAATTGCATTCAGTTGTATTTTTGTCTAACATGCATGATTTGTTCTCCAATTTATTTTTTTCTATAACAATGTTCTGCAGAAGTTACTTAGGTAAATATCAACATGTAATATAAGCCAAAATATTTCTGAACACACTCGCCTATTCATCAAGGACTTGCCCCATAACTCCACAAGAACAATTAGATCTGTTTGTCAGTCTTTTTTTCTGCAGAAATGGTACACTTAGAAATCAGGAAGGAGGAGGGATTTCCTCTTTGGCCAAAATCCTAGCAGGCAGACGGATAAATCCCAAATAAGCAGATAATAAGACTAACCGCTGTTGCTTAGGGTCATAGGAAAGAACTAGGAAGCCACAAGAGAGAAAGGGAAGCATAATTTTTATCCCACTAGAACAGATATCTCTCTTAATATTTTTTATTCAATTTCTTTTTTTGTGTTGTAGGTTGTCATCTTGCAATGTCTCCAGATACTACGAATTTTGCTGTTAATTGGCTAGGAGTAGAAGTCAGCAGGGCCACCCTTGGTATCATTGGAATGGGCAACATCGGTTATAAAGTGGCCAAGAGGGCAAAGGCTTTTGACATGAAGATTCTCTATCACAATAGGAATCGGAGGTAAATGTATTTTGAGACATATACTGTAGATGTGATATGGTATAATATAATATGTTGGTATGATATATGATAGGGTACGATATACCAGGGGTCTTCAGACTTGGCCCTTTTATGACTTGTAGACTTCAACTCCCAGAATTCCTCAGCCGGCGTGCCTGGCTGAGGAATTCTGGGAGTTGAAGTCCACAAGTCATAAAAGGGCCAAGTTTGAAGATCCCTGCGATATACTATATATTTTGGGATTTAAATATGAAACTCATTTAGTAGCATTGGAGAGCCTTTAAAAATATTTTCTACTAACTGCCCTTTAGCGGTGATCTTTGGCCAAAAAACTTGACTAGAACTGAAATTATGAATACTATATATATATATATATATATATTTGCAGGAACTTGGCCCAATGAAACATATATTTCCTTAGTGTTATTAGAGTGGCCATAGAAATGCATAAACATTCCAGCAAATTAAATCCAAAGGTTATTAAGCCATTGGATTGAGACTAGTTATGAACATCCCATTCCCCTGAACACCGGCAATTAATAAGGATGTGACATCTGTTGCCAGGTTTGCTTCAGATCTGCTCTGAAGCAGAAGCTAGCAGCATGGCTTCTGAGACATCATCACGTATTCCTCATCTCACATGGCTTTACTCAGATGCCATTTCACCAATAAGTAGCAGCCATGTAATCGTAAACCCTGTAATCCCAAACTATTTTAATTTTGAATTTGTTTCTGGAGAGAATGCTCTTTAGAAGCAAATTTAGGATCTAATTCATCATCAGGTTGATAATAAAAAAGATGTCAGATATATACATAATGCAGCACGCACAAACATGCTTTCTTCAAATCCATGTTTCACCAGTATCATGGAAAATAATCTATATAAGCAACCATTGTGTGGACTTTGAGTTGTTACTAACAACTGGCACATTTAACAAATACTCTGCAGCAGTTATTTTTGGAACAATGAAAAGTTTGTTATGCAAGGCAAGAAGAACCACAGATATTTTCATAGGTTGCACTGAATAGGAAAAACACTGGAGTGGAATGCTGTCTTTAGACCTAAAATAGCAAGCTCCTGAAGAATGGAAAGTATTTCTCATTTATGCTGTTCAGTGATTGTGCCACCCAAATAACTCCACCATGAGAAGCTCTTATAAAAAATTTGTTTTCACATTTATTTCTCCCAGAAAAGAGGAAAAAGAACAAGAGGTTGGTGCCGTGTATTGTAAAAACATTGATGACTTGCTTCAACAGTCTGATTTTGTGATGCTGGTTGTAAATTTGACATCAGAGACTCACAATCTCATAGGAAAGAGAGAGCTAGAACTGATGAAACCCACAGCTACACTCATCAATATCTGCAGAGGTAGGATGCAACGCTATCCAAATCTACATTTCTGTTGTTTAAACCGTCAGTGGTTTCAAAAACACTCTTGGCGGATCTGTAATCTGAGCTTTTTCTTGATTATTTCTTGACAAAATTTCAGTCAAGCAAAATATGTTAGATTAAAATTTAGAAGGACAAACGACTCTTGGTGTCAATCAAATTGAACTGCTTCTTGTTAAAGTAATAAGACTATACTTCTTAACACAACTTATTCTTTCCAGATCAAAAATATCAAAGAGGTAAAGATATATTTCGGTTTGGAGAAGATGGATAGATTATATTCAGAATAAATATGGAACTGAAAAGTTCCATTTGGTGTTTGAGTAAATTTTACAGTATTGTTATTGTGAATATTTTATTATATTTTATTATATTTTTATTATATTTTATTATATTGATATTATTATTATTATTATTTTGAGCAGTAATTTTGTTTAATAATTAAGTTGATTATTTGTTTATTGTGTTTAATTTTAAATTATCTAAATTTATTTTAAAAGGGAGTTAAAGTGTGTTATAGATTTGGTTACATAATTAGTTGGATAATGTTACTTAGATTATGATTAATATATTTGTAACCCTGTGAACAGCTCTGGGAAGTGGGGTTATGGGTGTTTTGGGGGGGGCAAGGGGGTTTATTTTGTAAATGTTATAAAACTTTTAATAAAATAAAAAAATAAAAAAAATATCAAAGAGGTAACAAATTTATTAAGCGATGCAATAGGTCACCTAGTCATTTCATGATTTTTTTAAAGTAGGATTTTGTGAATAAACATTGAAATGAGAGCATTTGCTGCAGTATTTTTTTCTATGGACGTTAGAGAAATCTGACAAATGAAGCGATAGGATCCACAGTATAGCTTTTGTTGCTGTTCAGAACTACTAATCTATTATATAAAAAATGAACAATGCTGTATAATTGTAATTTATTGTTAGTAGAGAATTAATTATATCTTAAGCACTAGTATAGTAAAATAATACGGAAATCATTATTTGGCTCCCCTCTACATGCTGTTGAGGATTGCTTTTGTAAGTCTTTTACAATCAGTTCTTGAGCAATTTACAATCATGGATTTGGACAGATTTTGTGGAATATAATTAAAATATTTATTTTAAGGTGTTGCAGTACTAAGTATTTTTTATTGGAAATAAATTCTACTGAGCAAATTTATTTAAGTCCAAGTGCCTGGGTACAGAATTCACCTATATATCTCATAACAAGAAGCATCCATTCACTTTAATGTTTCTTTGTTATATCTGTGTCATCCCCAAATCCCCTTTCTCTTAGGTGCAGTTATTGACCATGATGCATTGGTAGAAGCTCTCCAAAATAAGGTTATTAAGGCTGCAGCTCTGGATGTGACCTATCCTGAGCCATTGCCAAGGTAAAATAATACAATACTCATAGATCAGGGTAAAAGGACAATAAATCCGGCATGAAATAAATAATGATGATATTGTATAGATTCAGAAGATCATTCTTAATATAGGAGTTCCTATGTTGGCCCAATTTGCTATCTTTGCCACCCATTCATTTTCTTTGTGTTATGGAAAAGGAAGAGGAGAATTAATTGTAATCAGACATCTTTAGAGCTGGAATGGCAAACTTTACCAAAACCCCATAACTTTGTAGTACTGTAATCTGTTAAGGACTGCAAATCTGAATGGCTGAATCTAAAACAAAGTCAGAGCCAATGGTACGCCAAGCTATGTCATGTTTTTCCACCTCTCTTTTTTTCCCTTCCCCGGAGGTTGTTTACAAAGTTTATGAAATTATGACAAGAGTGAGTGGCTTTCCCACTGATCTCTGCAGTTGTCTCACCATTGGTTTAGAGTTTTTCATAATTTGTAATTTTCTTTAGACGGACTGAAATCCAAACTTTTAATTTAAACAAACTAGAAACCTACAAGGAATTGGTAGGATGGAAAATAAATTAGAAGCAAGTCTACACACTAGAGCAGTGGTGGCGAACCTATGGCACAGGTGCCAGAGGCGGCACTCGGAGCCCTCTTTGTGGGCACACGTTCCGTTGCCCCAGCCTCGCCTCCCCCCACGACCCCATCCTCTCCAGCAGCCCCCCTGAAGGAGACTCGCCCTCGAGCATGGCCCACACGGAGCAGCGCAGCCAAGGACATGGCAGCCAGGCAGTGTAGACAAGACTTTGCCCTCACACCCCATCATGCAGTTGATGCTGCAGGGCGCGGGCAGAGGGTGTGGCTGCCGTAGCGTTGCTGGGCTGCCTGGGCGATCTGTGGCGGGCCCTGGAGGCGGTGAGTGGTCCTGTGGACAGGTGGGGTAGGGGATGGGGGGGCAGAACGGGGGCGGGCAGGGGGGGTGGAGCGGGAGCAGGCCAGTTTTTGGGCACGGTCTCTAAAAGGTTCGCCATCACTGCACTAGAGGGTTTTCTGTATAATAATCTATTTATAGTCAGACTAGGACAGCCAATTTGTCCTTTATCCTTATCATACAGAAAAAAAAAAATATTTCCAACTCTTACTCTAAAATTAAAAATAGTCTGCATTGTTTTTATAATCCTATATCGTCAAATCCCAAAATCAAAATTATATTCCTCTAAGTTTCTCACAAAAATTCCATAAGTGGCTTCATCAACAACTCATCACTGTCTTCTAAAATAAACCAGATATCCCTTCATTTCCTACTCAACCCATTTTCTATACAGTCACGTCTAAATTTTCAGCTCTTCTTATTAATCAGCAAAGATCCACTTAAAAAAATAGCAAAAAACACCTAATAGTTTAAATATATGCCACCCTTTTCCTTTTATTCTATACAGATTGAGATTTTGGAAATGAACTGAGGAAACCTGGATATAAATTCCCATTCAGTTATTGACCCCAGTAGACAACTTTGGGCCAGTTTCTTTCCCAACTTAACTAATTTCATAGGGTTATTGTCATATGGATAAAATTATATGATACATTCAGGTTTGCCTTGAGTTGTCAAAAAAGTGGGATATAAGTGCCATAAATAAACTAAGTTCTGAGAAGGGGTCTATTTGGAGTACACAAAACACATTTTAGAGGTTTTATCTTTTAAAAAATTGAATGATCACATTTCATTCTTTAATCATCCCAATGATGTCTATGAGAATGATTCCCATTCTCTTTGGCAATACCAGGAGTAACACTAGAGGAAGAGCTATTGAAATAGCCTAGCAGCAAGTAATGGCTGTTTGCAGGATGTGCCTCTTGGATAGTATGGATACTACCCTACAGAAAGGTTTCCAGAGTAGAAACTGGGCAGCAGAAGTTAATATCCTTTTTGTTGGTTTCAGTCTAGCTCAGGCATGTCAAACTGCCAGCCCATGGGCCGGATGTGTCATGCCGAAACCGCGCCCATCCCATTGCTGGCAATGGAGAAAAAGTTCCGATTCATCGTGTGACGTCACGAGTTTGACATGCCTGGTCTAGCTGTTGTTTTCCAAATCATTTGCTGCAACTGCAGTGTGCTGCAGCTGCCAAAAAAGCCAACGGAGTGCTAGGTTGCATTAACTGAGGGATAGAATCAAGATCACGTGAAGTATTAATACCACTTTACAATGCCTTGGTAAGGCCACACTTGGAATACTACATCCAGATTTGGTCACCACGATGTAAAAAGGATGTTGACTCTAGAAAGAGTGCAGAGAAGAGCAACAAAGATGATTAGGGGACTGGAGGCTAAAACATACAAGGAACGGTTGCTGGAATTGGGTCTGTCTAGTAGTTTAATGAAGAGAAGGACGAGGGGGGACATGATAGCAGTGTTCCACTATCTCAGGGGCTACCACAAAGAAGAGGGAGTCAAGCTATTCTCCAAAGCACCTGAAGGCAAGACAAGAAGCAACGGATGAAAACTAACCAAAGAGAGAAGCAACCTAGAACTAAGGAGAAACTTCCTGACAGTTAGAACAATTAATTAGTGGAACAACCTGCCTCCAGAACCTGTGAATGCTCCAACACTGAAGGCTTTTAAGAAGAGACTGGATAGCCATTTGTCTGAAATGGTATAGGGTTTCCTACCTGAGCAGGGGGTTGGACTAGATGACTTCCAAGGTCCCTTCCAACTTTATTATTATTATTATTGTTGTTGTTGTTGTTGTTATTGACCATCACACAGTCAGCCAGATGTTCAGACTGGATTTGGCATTTTTGTCTACCTATCAAGTTTTTACCAAGGACCTGGGACAGGCAGATGTGGATGTTTGATGGTATTACATATATCGTCGCAGGATGGAAGCAGTTCCCAGCAAGGCCGCCTTTTGCAATTGACTAATGGCGAATTTGTTAATAATATTTAGACTTGGCGAGTCTAAATTATCTTATCCTGCTTTCTCTGCAGAGATCACTTGCTATTGCAGATGAAGAACGTCATCATAACACCCCACATTGGCACTGCTACAGACCAAGCCCTGCTCATGATGACAGAAGAAGCAGTAGAAAATATCCTGGCAGTTCTCAATGATCTTCCCATTCCTAGTGAAGTGATCTCCAAATGACTTGATGGAGAACATACCAAAAAAATCCATTACTTATCAAGAACAGGAGATTAACTTCTGAGAAATATGACAAATAGCCAGACAACATATTCCTATCAGTTTCAAAATGTGTGACTGATTATATTTTATAATTAAATTAATTCTATACGCCGCCCAGAGTCACTTCAAAACAAGATAGGTGGCAAATAAATTTAATAAATAAATAATTAAAATCCCATTGAAAAAAAGTTTATTCTGAGGCTTTTGATCATGATGGATACTTTCATCCCTTTATCTCTAGCAAACAGATACACAGGCTTTGTAAAATGATAACAACAAATTCAGAAGAGCTAAGGCTTAGGGCTCTGTTAAAACATCACATCAAGGTTCAACCTCAAACAACGTAAAAAACTTGAATAATTCCAGCATAGTAATATTTATTATTTGAGGTTATAGTTTTCATGTTTGAAATGATCTTTCTCCTGCATTCCTCACCTGCAGATAATTGTTGCCCTCTTTTGACAATTACATGAAGAAGAGTGCACAAACCAAATATAGCAAAGCATACTGGCTTGCACATTTTGTTTGCTAGGCGAGATGAGATTGCTTAGCTGTTAAATTTTATTCAACCACATTTTTTGAACAAAATTTTGACTTGAGTTCACACAACCCATTAACCCATATACATATTATTAATTAGTTGCTATGGTTGAATTGACACAAAACCAAGCAAAACATAATATTGCCAAGCCGTACATGAATCAAGACATAGTTTTCTGATCTTGACTAGAAAATTGTGACTGCTGAAGCTTTCAAATTTTTCATGGCATTCAAAAGTTGAATCCATTAATGATATAATAGATTGTATAATGGTATTTTAAAAGGCTCAAAGAACAAATTGTTCTGAACAACCTTGCTTTTTATGTTTTTTAATGGAACAAACAAAATTTAAGACAAAATTTAGAAATAAGGAACAGGAACAAAAAAAATGTTTATATTGCTGACGGAGAGAAAGAGGTACAAAGCACTTTAAACTTTACAAATGCAACATTTGTAAAGATAAAAGCAATTTGTTTACAAAATAATATAGTTAAGATAGGTGATCAGACTTTAAACATTTCACAGTAATTATATAAACCTTCAAAGCCCTTTGTGGCTGTGTTAATTTTCAATCAAAGCAAAAGTCCATACCTTTACATTATGCAAAGGAAAATGTACTTTTAGGATGTACTAAAAGGGATGCTTAATTATTGATTATTTTTCTTCTATTTTTAATTTAATTCATGTAATTTTCCAAAATCAGCACTATAGCTTCTAATAAAAATGTAATATTTTCAGATAGGATCTTTATTTTCAAACTATTCTGATCTACAAAGAGACTTGAATGATAACTTAGAAAATTCATGCAATAATTAGGAAGTAAAAAAAAGTAATAGTATTTTTGCTCTTTGTCTGTACCTACATAATTTCTTTAACATAATGAAATTAAAAAACAATAAAAATGCATTGTCGTTCTGATGGACTTAGCATTTGGTTATTTTTTTAAAAAAAAACATGGTATAAGCCCACCAAATTTACAAACTACTTGTAATTTATTAATAGAAAATTAAGTAGACACATTCAACTGAAATACAAAGACTGAAATATGATCAAGAACATAATCCAGCTGCATTTGGTTATGAGAATAGTTTAACAAATAACTTATTAAGTTACAGCTTGATTCAAAGTTCCCCATTAAACTTTGCCCTTTTCTTATGAAGGATCTCTTTGTACTGTAGCTTGAATTATTACCGGTGTATAGAATCTGGGTAATTTAGAATGCTCAAAACATTCACAGAATGATCATTTGAATTTTAAGAGACTTACAGATTCAGAAAAAAAAATGCTTTTCTTGATATGCTGGTACTCTACCATTTTTTAATATTTGTTTAAAATACCAGTTATCTGACTTTTCCATTTGTTTCCATTTGTTTGTTTGTTCCATTGTATAAGTAATTTCAGCTGAAAGTACTCTTGAAGGTTAGGATAAATACGTTGTTTTCTCTTACATTCTAGTTTAAATAGCTATTTTCTGGTTAAGACAACGCTCCCAAAATAGAAATAACCAATAGAAAAATTATGAGAGGTGATTGCCAATAATTAAGAATTTCACTAAAGAGAAATACTCAGTTTAGATCAGTGGTTCTCAACCTTTTTAATGCTGCGACCCCAACCGGTCGTAAGTCGAGGACTAAACCGGTCGTAAGTCGAGGACTGAACCGGTCGTAAGTCGAGGACTACCCAACCGGTCGTAAGTCGAGGACTTTCCCTGCCCGGGAGCGCCGTGCATGCGTGGTTCCGCCCCCTGTGCCGGCCGAGGCATAGCTGGCAAGCGGCAGAGACGGAGCAGGCCGACCACCAGCTGGCCCAGCCCAAGGGAGGTAAGGCACCTGCCGGAAAAGGGGAAAAAAATGGCGGACAAAAAAATGGCGGACAGCCTTGCTTGGCAGCCCCCATGAAATGGTCGATCGACCCCAAATGGGGTCCTGACCCACAGGTTGATAACCACTGGTTTAGATAAATAGGACAATAAAGTCTCAAACTAGGATCTCTCTCTTCAAATCCTTCTTCATCAGTACAAGCTTCTTGGATGAGTTTAGCCAGTCCCCATTTGAGAGGTAAATTAGTTGTCAACATAAAACAGAGGGGGAAAACTCTTTACAGTAAATTCCAAAGTCCTCCACTGTTGTCTTCTTTGGAAATCTGGAAATTGTACTTTGAAACAAGTAACGATTCAGAAGCAAGCTAAGCTGGATTGTTTTCTGCAATGGCTGATACTTTTAGCAAGGTAATTTATATCTGCTGAGGTGGGAAAGGAGGAACAGGAGGAACGAAAAGTGCCATTGATCATCATTGGCAAACTTGTACTTTGAATCAAGTGAAATGGAGAGAGAATTGCGGAGCTTTGAGGAAAAAAAGGGGGCAACTTTAAGTACTATATCTGCAGCAGTACATCAGCAATTTTTTCCTACCTGTCATTTGCATGTGTATTTTTGTACAATCTGTTAATTTCAATGAATGGGAACAAGTAAATGTCTCCCTCTTCAAATCAGTAAAAATAGATCATCAGTTTTAATGGTGACATCTCTCAAAAAACTGTTAAAGGTTAAACTGTTATTATCAATAAGCTTTTCTAAGATCAGTCCATTAATAACTGTATACTGTTGTTACAGAAGTATGTGTTATAAAGGTAATACCTATTTGTTTTGTTTAAGTAGATTGTGGAAGAACAGGAGCTACCATATACATTAATAAACGTCATTGGCGGTCCAGATGGAGTTTATGAAGACCACGTAGAGTTTCTGGAAAAACATCTTAAACTTGTCACCATGCAGGAATATCTGAAAAACAAGCAAGTGCTTAGTGAAAAAATCCAAGCAATATTTATGTGGGCCCATAAACCTGAGGCTACCAGGGATCTTTTAGAAGACCTACCTAATTTAAAAGTGATTGCAGTCTCTGGTGTAGGAATAGACCACCTTGATTTAAAACTGATCTTCAGCTTTGGTATAAAAGTAACTAATACACCTTTTGAAGTGACCAATGCAACAGCAGATATAGGGATGGCTTTAATGCTGGCTTCTGCTAGAAGGATTGTGGAAGGTACAATTTAATTTTTGATAACTCAATGATAATATGTTGAAAGGGGAGAGACTGAGGGGTCCTTGATGCTCTCGGAGCTTGGTTGATTTCTTGCAGACATTTCATTACCCCAAAGTAGGTAACATCCTCAGTGCACTGATGATGTTACCCAGTTTGGGTAATGAAACGTCTGCAAGAAAACAAACTCAGAATGCGCCAAGGATTCCTCATTTCAATTCTGAGCAACAAATATTCTGCTTTATTGGGGGGGGGGGGGAGAGGGACTGTTTAAATCTTTTATGTTTCACCTTGCTAATTATGTAATTAAGTTGCAGATAGAATTCACCATTTGTAAAACATAAAGTGAGGGGAATCCTCATTCAATAATTATGCAGAAAAAATAGGTCTGGGGTAGAGGGTAATTGATTTTCATGGGTTCATATTGTTTTTTAAAATGCTCCTTTGTAGATATAATGTAACCAAGTATTTTGCCATTGTCTCATCGCAGAAAATTTTAAATTTTCCAGTTTAGTCTACATCTCTGAAATGTTCTCATGTTTCCCATCCAGGAGCTAGCAAGGTTTGCCTCTGTTTAGGGATTATGTGGTGGTTTGTCAAGAAGTAGCAACCGGCTGAACTTATGAACTATGAGATAATGGATTTTTTTCCCAAAGTAGTTCATTAACTCCCTACCCCAGACCTATTTCTTCTGCATAATTATTGAATGAGGATTCCCCTCGCTTTATGTTTTACAAGTGGTGACTTCTATCTGCAACTTAATTACATAATTAGCAAGGTGCTCCACATGCCTGGAGAATCACTGGTTAGAGCAGTAAAGGCCTGGACAAATTTTTTCTTTATGACAAAGGTAGATTACAAGTCACCTCTGATTTTACAAAATTTTTTTGCCACAGTTATTAAGTGAATTACTGCAGTTTTAAGTCATAGGATAATTAAGCAAATCCAGTTTTCCGCATTGACTTTGTTTTTCGGAAGCTGGCTGGGAAGGTCACAAATAGTGTGACAAGATCGCATGACCCCAGCACATCGCAACCATTAAAATACAGGCTGGTTGCCAAAAACCCCAATTTTAGTCATTTCGTCATTGTAGCTTATTGAAGCCTTTTCAAGGTTTCAAACTGAGACCAATTTTGATCACATGACTGTAGAGATGCTGTGATGGTCGTACATGTGAGGACTGATCGTAAATCACTTTTTCCAGTGTCATCGTAACTTCAAACGGTTGCTAAACAAATGGTTGTAAGTGGAGGACTACCTGTAAGACCAGTCTTGAAAATTGTTGGAAAGAAAATTACCTAAATCTCTACCATCATTGAGTTAGAGAATCACTGTCAGTCAACATTATTCAGGGGTCTTCAAACTTGGCCTTTTTATGACTTGGGGACTTCAACTTCCAGAATTCCTCAGCCAGGCACACTGGCTGAGGAATTCTGGGAGTTGAAGTCCACAAGTCATAAAAGGGCCAAGTTTGAAGACCCCTGTTATACATGTATGTGGCATTTTAGCATCCTCAAAACAGGAACATTTCTTTCAAGTTGAATTCAGCTTCTGGTCATGACCTATACAGGAAGTCCTTGATTTACAACAGTTCATTTAGTTACAAGGGCACTGAAAAAGTGACTTATGACCATTTTTCACACTTATGGCCATGGTGGCATCCCCATGGTCATGTCATCAAAATTTGGTTACTTGGCAACTAGCCTGTATTTATGATGGTTGCAGTGTCCCCAGGGTCATGCAATCAGCTTTTGTGACCTTCTGGCAAGCAAAGTCAATGGGGAAGCCAGATTTACTTAACAACCATGTTACTAACTTGTTATTTAACCATGTTACTTAACAACTGCTATGATTCACTTAACAACTGTTACAAGAAAGGTTGTAAAGTGGGGCAAAACTCACTTAACAAATGTTTCACTTAGCAACATTAATGTTGGGCTCAGTTGCGATAGTGACTCAAGCACTATCTGTATTTTCCATGTCACCTATAAGGAAGATGTTGCTTCTGCTTTCTTCCATAATGTTCTTTTTTTCCTACTTCCCAATCCAGTTTAAAGATTTGCTATTGCCCAGGCAACTCCCATCATAGCTTCCAAACCCAGCACAGTTAAATTTGACAATAGTGACATCATAGACTGGTTTTAATGCCATAATGCAATTCTAGAATATAAAAACAAGGAGCGTGTTCTGAGCAACCACTTACTAATGGCTTCAGTAATGAATCTCCGTACATCGTAACTAGGATTGTGAAGAAAGATTTCTAGGTTTCCTTCAAAAGGCAGTTGAGACCTTGCTACAAATACCAGTAGCAGGAAGTGGTGTGGCACCCGCCCACTGTTCAGAATCCATAAGGTCAACATGGTTTGTCACAAAAGAGTGAGACCTGCACTATTGATTATTGACTGATTTCGTACTACCACAATCCACTTCTTTTTGGTTTATTTTTAAACGTCTAGGTTATCAGATTGCAGTTTCCCCTGACACTAACTATTTTAATGTCAACTGGTTGGGACAAGAAATAACTGGTTCAACTCTAGGAATCATTGGAATGGGCAGGATTGGTTACAAGGTGGCCCAAAGAGCTAAAGCTTTTGAGATGAAAATTCTTTATCATAACAGAAACCAAAGGTAACCAGCTCTCGGATTAGATCATATTTACATTATTTTTTTACTTTTTTATTTTTACCTTTCTCTTATGCTCACCATGAATAACTCCATTTGTCTCCCATTGCAGAGAGTACAACAGTATTTTTCCTAATCTTTCATAAATGTATATTTTAGATCAATGATGGCGAACCTTTTAGAGACCGAGTGCCCAAATTGCAACCCAAAACCCACTTATACATCGTCGGGTGCCATGTGGGTGTGGCCCATTGTGTGGGTGTGGCCCATTGAGTGGGTGTGGCCCATTGAGTGGGCGTGGCTGCTGTGGTAACACCACACTGGGTGGGACTAAAAAGTTCAATCAATCAATTCCAACTTTGCAAGATCTCTTTTTTTCCCGCGAGAAGTTGAAATTGACTGATTGATTGAACCTGGTTTTTTTGTACATGGCGGTGGAGGCCTAAAGCGAAAAGGTTTTATAAAACCCAGCTGAAGGCCTAGGACTGGGGCGACAGCGCGTGTGCCCACAGAAAGGGCTCTGAGTGCCGCCTCTGGCACCCGTGCCACAGGTTTGCCACCACTGTTTTAGATCCATAAACAAATATTGTCCGGGAAGGTATGCCTGCATCAGCCGAAGAGACCAGTAGGAGCTAGACCAGGGAATCTCCAAACTTGGCAACTTTAAGACTTGTGGACTTCAGCATGGCTGGCTGAGGAATTCTGGGAGTTGAAGTCCACAAGTCTTAAAGTTGCCAAGTTTGGAGAGCCCTGACCGAGACAAATTCCAGATCTGCTTCATTTTCACTATACTTTGCCAATGAAACAATATATATTGTACATATATCAAGACCTGTGTTGGGAAAAGATAGAAAAAAAAATTTCAACATTGAATCAGGTTAATATGAACCTAAGTTGCATTGGCACTGGTATGAGAATGGGAGATATTCTTTAGGAATGGTTAGAATGAGGCATCTTTGTAATGGGTTAGAGGCCTTGTGGATGTACCAATGTGTTCAGATTGCCTTTGTGACTAGTTCTGTGGAGGTATGAAACATCAGTGGAAATATTGCTAGCATTAACAATTAGAGCTAAATGATTATGTCCTGCAGAAATGAGGCAGATGAGCAGGCTGTTGGTGCAGTTTATTGCCAGAAGATGGAAGATTTACTTCAACAAGCTGACTTTGTGATGTTGACTGTGAATCTGACCCCTCAGACATGCAAGTTGATTGGGAGAAAGGAACTAGAACTCATGAAGCCCACTGCCACTCTTGTCAACATCTGTAGAGGTAGTATAATGATTTCAAACTCATTATAGCCACATTTTCCTTGAATACGATGAAATGAAAATCATTTATGACACGAGGGAAAGTAAGAAATTACAAATAAAATTCTGTCAGGAAAATTTAAGGTAGTCTATAACTCATCTGCGTCATCTCTCAATTAAAGAGCTTGAGATATTGTAATGTTTTCAAATACCCATACTGGATTAAACGTATTCTTCCCAGTTCACGATGCCCCATCCCATTTTTTAGAATTCCTGACTAACATTTCCCTAGCTGCATATCTCCTTACTGCTCTAAGGAACGGCCTCCTGAAATACCATTTTCTTCCTTAGATGGCCATTATCCATTTTACATTAGGATTATTTTTTCTCACTACTGCTCTTGTGCTTCTGATCTTCAGTTATGAAAAAGTCATCTCCAGAGGTACAAACATACACGGGACATGGTGAATAAGTGACTATTTTCAGTTAACTAATCAGCAGAGATATTGAAATATTTGCTTTAATTTGTAAATGTTAGTCATTATCTAAAACATCTCCTTGAAATAATAGTCAACCTGAGGACTACAAATATTAATAAAAGACTCAAATATACACATGCAACAGACATGTAACAGTAAAACATTTCCTTTATCATTTTTCTAAAATAACCACTCTTGTATTCCTTTCCCCTAGGTGGAATTATGCTTGCTTTCACCTTTCCGTTCAAAATTTTCTGAAATATCAAATATTTTTTAAATTCCCAACTCCTTAACCATTCCTTTCCTGCCAAGAAAATTATGTTTTGACAGTAAGAACCTGTTGGCAGCAGCATATTATTCATGTTCTTCACTATAATATGGAGTTGCTAATTATTTTAATTGCCCTTTTCACATATTTTCCAAATATACAATATTTGTGTGATATAGTGTGTTTAGCAAAATGGAATTCAATGTTTTGATCAAGGTTGCTTCGTAGAGTTGTATGAAGTCATAAAAGGATTTCTCCACTAAGAATTTTCCTTTTTCTCAACAACTTCAAACTGAGTTATTGTATATATTAACTGATTAATTCTTGTAACCCAAAATCCCTTTTCTGATAGGACTGCATTAGCTCAGACTCCATTTATTCAAAATTCTCCTCATTAAAATATAAGGAATTTTTTTCTTTGTTCCAATATGGTTGTTGCCAGAAATGTCAACCTGTTAGTGTGAAAGGAGTGTGTCACATTTCACAATGATTTACTGCTCTCATTCAGAGTCTCCCGTTTTAGTTTGGTAAGTAGTATGTCTTGATAGAGATAGTAAAACAATTTGTTCTCTTGTTTGCTTTAAATTCAGGTCAAGTGATTGATCAAGATGCACTGCTGAAGGCCCTCCAAATGAAAACAATTAAGGCTGCAGCTTTGGATGTAACGTATCCAGAGCCACTACCAAGGTAAAAAAAATCATGCATCTAGTATTAATATGTCAGTGTGAATTTTGGAGCTCTACTTATTCCTTCATTTTAAGTATTCTATCCCAAAATACATTCAGGCTCATCTCTGATTCATCTAGAATGCAGGATTATTTAAGATAAGATAGTTGGCTATTCATGCCAAAGAAAGCAAATGTTCTCTATTAATCAATAGGGTTATATTTGACCAAATAGTATATTATTTTATTGATTGATGTGCATTGTCGGCTCTTGGAGACAACATGGATAGATTTTCTCCATGAATATTATGTGATACAGTGAGTTGATTTAAGTTCTCCAAATATGAAATTAATCTGCAACAGGAATGTAGCATAATTTTTAGCCAAGACAAATCGACAACAATTATGGGATTAACTCAGCAGAAGCTGTTCACTAAGCTTTGAATTCAAGCTCAAAGAATCATAGAGTTGAAAGGGAACATATATATATGTAGGTAATCAAGTTCAATTCCCTGCTTAGTGTAAAAATTCAAACACTCAAACCAATCAATATTGTGGGGAAAACGATAAGTATGCACACAGATAAAGAACTGCATTTAGATTTATAAGTATTTAAACATGAAAATTAATTCTGTTATTAATGCATAATTTCCCTAGTCATACTGAAAAGTTGGTTTTAAATGTTCCAAGGCAAATGATATATGCCCCCAGAAGAAAGACTTACAAATGCTTAGGACACTAGTTTTCCCTTCTGTGAAGGAGCAACTCAAAACAACCTAAGGATCTTAGAAGGACTGATTAGTCTTGCTGGCCACAGGAAAGCACAGGGAACTGAAATTGAAATAGCAGAGAGAGTAAAACTCAAATGCTAAAGATTAGTTGTTTATTTTTATATGGTTATGTTTGCTTTGCATTCAGTAGTTCAAGGCAGTGTAGCTTCCTTCATATTTTTCCCACAGCCATCACTCTACAGTATGAGAAGACTGGGCTAAAAATGATCAGCTCCCCCTGGTTCAGGATAGACTGCCTTTTTCAAGTCATACCCGGTTAGTTAGCTAAGCTTAGTCTTCTCAGTAGTTAAGCTTGATGTACATATATTATACACAGTACTGTATCCACTTAACTGGGTGAATGTGTTGTGAGGACATTAAAAAAGGGTCAACTGATGCATTCAATTAGCCATGAAAGGATTAGATTTATCCCTGTCCAAATCTATGTCCCAGTTCTTCACAATCAGTTGTGTTGTGTGGGAACATCTAAACTGAATCCACTGATAAATGTTTCAATCCACTTCAGAATTCCCAATGCTTGCAGTGCAGAACACATTTCTGCAAGATGGTTTAGCTGCATATTATGTTGCTTGCCAATACTCTCCTATGAATTGGCTTATGGGATAATAAACACTCCTAAGGAAAAATGGACAGAGTCCATGTATTTCCCATTACTGTGCTTGTGTGCTAACAGAAGCAGCAGTGAGGAGATGCTTGAATTAAGAACTGCAGAATATTAATGATCTGATTCTACTTTCTGAAAACTTTGCAGTACCAAAATATATAAATGCCTATATTCAGTTCAGTTCCATAAGCGTGACACATCATTATATTTTCAAGTTTAAAAGAAACAGACAACTTTTCTCTTTTTTCCTTCAGAGATCATGCTTTATTGCATTTAAAGAATGTCATCATAACACCCCATGTTGGATCTGCAACTTCACAAGCCCGCCGCCATATGATGAAAAGTATGGTTGAAAATATTCTGGCTGCTGTAAATGGCCTCCCGGTCCCTCATGAAGTCCATGAGTAACACGTACCTTGTTGGGATAAAGTATTCTATATTTGTCTTTAAATGTTTATACCAGGGTTCTCCAAAGTTGGCAACTTTAAGCCTTGTAGAATTTAACTCCCAGAATTCCTCAGCCAGTCATGCTGCCTGAGGAATTCTGGGAGTTGAAGTCTACAAGGCTTAAAGTTGCCAACTTTGGAAATTCCTAGTTTATACCAAAGTAATGAATTTGATTTTTATCTGTTTGACAATGGATCTCCATTTAGCTTCCTTGGAAAAAAAATTCATGCTTTGAGGTATGTTTTGTTCATTTATGTTGTTCTGCTTTCTCTTTATTAAATGGAATGGAAAACAAACTTGAAAAATAGATATTTTTACTTTATTATTTTTTTATTATGGCATCTCTTTCCAGTTAAAATGCATTGGATGAGTGTCCCAATGGTATGATACAGTATTTGAAGGGCTTGTTGTCAAATAAGGATTACTGTTATAGGTATTTGAGATATTTCTCCAAATATCATCTGTGGGATAGGCTGTTATGTTGAAAATAGCAGCTGACTTAATGAAGATTAAATTTCATTAAAATTAACAGGGCTTATTCCCAAATACTGTAAATATTTCAGATATGAAATAAGGCTATTATATATGCATAAATATATATTCTAATGGAAAAACTTTGAGATAATTGATGTGTTTAGGAGTGCATATACCATACTTGTGAGATTTGGGAACATATGGTTTAAGCTATCCTACATGTTCAATTTTTGTAGTGTCTATCAATGCAAATACTCTAGGTTACTGAAGAACTCTTGGATTTTTAATCCTGTAAAATATTATTGAGGTGAAATTTACAAGTTCATAGTAGAGCAGTAACTCTCAGATGTGGCTGGAATTATAGATTATGGGAGCTGCTATTTTTTTTAGTTTGGGCAATAGGAAAATATGTCCCATAATATAATTGGAAAAAGAACAAATACATACATCAGCGTAGTGTAATATCAGACTAGGTCTGGAGAGACCCAAATTTGATTCTCCTCTAAGCCATGGAATCTCCTTGAATGTCTTTGGCCCAGTCACTCTCAGCCCATCCTACTTCGCAAGGTTGTTGTTATGGAGAAATAATAATAATGATATTGCCTATCCCAGGTCCTTGGAAAGGATTCACTAGGTCAGTGGTTCTCAACCTTTTTAATGCCACGACCCCCAACCGGTCGTAAGTCGAGGACTAAACTGATCATAAGTCAAGGACTAAACCGGTCGTAAGTCGAGGACTACCCAACCGGTCGTAAGTCAAGGACTTTCCCTGCCCAGGAACGCCGTGCATGCGTGATTCCGCCCCCTGCACCGGCCGAGGCGTAGCTGGCAAGCGGCAGAGACAAAGCAGGCCGACCACCAGCTGGCCCAGCCCAAGGGAGGTAAGGCACCCGCCGGAAAAGGGGAAAAAATGGCAGAGAGCCTTGCTTGGTGACCCCTGTGAAATGGTCGATCGACCCCAAATGGGGTCGCAACCCATAGGTTGAGAACCGCTGCACTAGGTGGACTAAAATGCCAAAATCCAGTCTGAACATCTGGCTGACTGTGCAATGGAGGGCAATCCCAGAACAACTGGGGCACCATTGAACACCATCAGCATTGACAAATTTACCATCAGTAAATAGCAAAAGACAGCTTTACTCAGATCAGTTGACATCTCGCAACGATCCCTGTTCAATATCCACATCTGCCTCTCCCACGTCCTTGGGAAGGACTCGATAGATGGATACAAATGCCAAATCCAGTCTGAACTGGCTGACTGTGCCCGATCCAAAATAAAGCAAGCCAAGCTGCCTGAACTCCTTGACAAAAAGCGGATAGTAAATCTACCAAATCGGTCACCGTAAACGAGGGGACTTTATCGAAGCTCATCTCCCCATGAAGTCCTTCCTAGTCGATGGGGGCGCTGTGGAAGGATCTCTCTTACAAGCGGGTGTAAGTGAGTGCGCATCCGGAGGAAGCGCGGCTCGGCCCGCCTTCCCAGGCGTTCTAGAACTCTGGGTTACAATGTGGAACGTCCGAAACGGCTTGAAGGTGGCTGTCACCGCCGCTGTCACCTCCGTAAGAAAACAGGCGAGTTTGCCTGGGTTGCTTCCCGCTTTGGGAGGCCCGTCCGCGATCACCTGTCCCGGCTGTTCTCGGGCTCTGCACTGTTCCAGACGACTCTGCCGATCCCCTAATGATTTGCTCAGAAAGTTCCTCGTTAAAAAAAAGTGAGTGGATCCCCTCCATTTGTCCCCGACAAATTCAGCGGATGCTGAATTACGGGGCGATAATGGCTTCGTGGATAGGAGACGTTTGCTTCTTTCATCTTTTCAGGAAGGGCCTCGCTCATCCTCCGCGGCGTGATAGGCAGGGTCGCTCTCCTAACCGAGATCACTTACAAACCTGGTCGCAATTTTTCCTTCTAAATTACACCCCTCCTGATTTTTTTCTTACTCAATATAAAATTTTTATTATTTTCCAAAAAAAAAAACATCACAAGTATTACACAATATTATATTATATCCCACCCACCCCGGACTTCCCAAACCAAGTCCCAGGCTAATATTCAAATATAGGTAAACAAATATTAATATCTCTAACTCCACAAACTCTATTTATAAACAATCCATCTCCTCCACATTAATAAAAAAATTATACATTTAAGTAATTCAAATACACCAAAGTCTATACCAATTCAGCAGGTATCACCAGTAACTCTTCCTCTCTATTNCCCCCCCCCCCCCCCCCCCATCATTCTCAGAAATAATAGAGTAAAATAGGCGTTGCACTTGCAACTCTATCCCTTATATCAGAGGTCCTCAACCTTGGCAACTTTAAGGCTTGTGGAGTTCAACTCCCAGAATTCCTCAGAGGAATACTGGGAGTTGAAGTCCACAAGCCTTAAAGTTGCCAAGGGTGGAAACCCCTGCCTAAGTACAAGCTGTACTTAGGTACACGAAACGAAACTAGTTCCGAGTTAAAGATACTTAAGTGTTAGCTTTACAGAGTCATTCTTTGCGTGGTTTTAGAAGGCAGCTTCAGTGATTCACTTGATTCATTTCAAGTAAGTATGTTACACTGATTAGGACAATACCTGCTTGTGCAGAGTTCATACAATGCTTTTAAATACTACTCTATTATCTGACAATAATAAATGCTTTACTGAATGTTTAGCTGTTATGAATAAGCCTGTATTTAAGTTAGTCTGTTGTGACATAGGTTATTGTAAATATACCGTACTATGTCTAAGTTCATACATTTTGGAACACTGAATGGCCATCTTCATTTGCTGATTTGACTTTTACTTGTGTGTTATATGAACCTTTAGTTATTCAATATTTACTATGTTCCAGTAAGGATGTCTTTCTCAACCTTGGCAACTTTAAGATGTGTGAACGTGCATGCAAGCTGGAAATTTTGGGAGTTCAAATGCATACATCCTAAAGTTGTCCAATCTGAAAAACTGCTATAAGGGATAAATAGTAAATTATGATTTTAATGGGGAAGCATGTCATGTTTCTTCATGAACAAAAAGTATAACTAATGAGTGAGTTGTGATCGCTTTTTAAACTATTTAGCGCCCTTGTTGAAATTATTTTTCAGGTAGATTTTGCAAAATAAAGTAACACAGGAAAATATATTTTTATAGTTATTAAAGCATAAACATTATTTTTTTCTCTAATCTTTAAAGGAAGAAGTTTTGGTATTCTAATCCTACACTTGGATCTGAAATGGTAAGAACAAAAAAAATGACTTAATCTAAAGGCAATGTCTTAATCAACATATTTCATAAATTTTGTATAATTCCTATATTATGATAATTGTACTAGATCGTGTGGCTTTCTTGGGGGGGGTTCAAGTTGCATAAAGCAGTAACAGCTACTTGTGCTTTCACTGAACTTGTATTTCATATTGAATTAGAAATAAGTAAATAATTGTTATGCTATTGTATTTTGTCATTCACAGTTTTCATCAGAGAGTGTAGGAATAGAATAAAGCCACGTTAACACTAAATAGCAGCATTAGGTTGTTATTTACAGATATTGTAAAAAGGACTCAAATGTTTATATAGGATATGTATATAAAAATAACAAAATTTAAGAATATAGGTATTTGAAATAGCTATGCTGAAAAGTCATGTTCATAATCTGGTTACATAGAAGAAATATGTCACCTCCATAAACATATATTTAAGAAAATATGATATATGAAGAGACATATGATAAACATATATAGTTGGAACTATTGTTTAATATTGAGTTATGCTTGACCTCCCCATATGGTAGGCAGTTCCTTTTAAAAGTTAAAATATAATGAAATGTGATTATTATACATATGTAATCATTGAAATCTAAATTCAGCTATATAATTATGAGATGTAATTGAAATTCACCTCTTTGTTTCCAGTTTTCATTTCAGTTTCTATAGAATGGTAGGAATTGCTGTTTCCACTTAATTATTATGGGCAAGTTGGTATTAAAAGTATGGGAAAATAAGAGTAACGAAAAGCAGAAAAACAATGGCAGTTCTACTGGATCCTTAAAGAAATGCACTCCTCTCTAAAAAGTTATACCTAATGCTAAAATTATTTGTTTTCTCCAATTTCTTGTTTTTTTAAAGCTGCACAAATCACCCAGCTTGACAGATGTTTTAAAGCTATCACCTCCAAAGGTTAGGAAACAAGATAGCATTCGTAAGAAAACTTTGGATGTTCTGTTTTTTCAAGCTGTGAGGGACCTACTGAACACCCCTCTAGTTGGCCAAGAACTTTATAATCTCAGTGTGGAAGTGTTTAAGGCAAGTACAAATCATATCAGTCCGGCAAAATCATTTAATTATGTGTCAAAACAGAAACATCTGATTTTGTGATTGTGTCCAGGAAACTCTGCAGATGTTGCTGTGATTTATTGCATTGGATTGCATTAAGAACTGTTCCACATGTATTGCATATGGTTCATTGCCTTTCTTTATTGCATTGGATTGTCATGGTATCAAGAACAGTTTTACTATATTATAAATCAGAGGTGGCTCAAGAATTCTGGGAGTTTATGGAGATTCTCAGTCATCCAGGTCATAGTTATCCCAAAGATGCTTTTCCACAAGGCAACTGGACTTTCTTGTTTTCCTGTGAAGACGTTTCGCTTCTCATCCAAGAAGCTTCTTCAGTTCTGACTGGATGGTGGGGAATGGAAAGATTTATACTCCTGCAGAAAGCTGTTCATTTGCATTCTTTTAGCGAGTCGTTAAAGCTACCTGGAGGCTTCTCTGTGTCTTCAGGGTCACCTGAGTAGTGCAAATGGGTGTGAAACCTTCTTGGAACTGCTGAAAGGACTGTGCTGTAGACTGGAGATAGATGATATCATATTCTTCCCCCTCTGTTGAGAGAGGGCTGTCAGTTTTGACATAGATGGCCTCTTTGACCTTTCTTTCAAACCAGTGGTCCTCTCTGTCCAAAATGTAGACTTTGCTATCTTCGAAAGAGTGGCATTTGTCTTTTAAATGCAGACGGACTACTGACTCATCCAATGGGACCCTGAAGACACAGAGAAGCCTCCAGGTAGCTTTAACGACTGGCTAAAAGAATGCAAATGAACAGCTGTCTGCAGGAGTATAAATCTTTCCATTCTCCACATCCAGTCAGAACTGAAGAAGCTTCTTGGATGAGAAGCGAAACGTCTTCAAAGGAGAGCAAGAAAGTCCAGTTGCCTCGTGGAAAAGCATCTTTGGGAATTCTGGGAGTTGAAGTCCATAAGGCATAGAAGGGCCATCATTCCCCACCTCTGTTATAAATTGATAATGCCATTTTATATCAGACCTGCTTATACTATTACATTTAGTTTGTAGTCCTACTCAGCTGGAAGTTATGGAAAAGAAGCTCTGTAGACACAGATGTACCATTACTCGTGATCTACTAGCAGGAAGGCTTAAAACAGAGTATTCCTTTAACATATTAGTAATGGTTGTAGGCAAAGGATTCAAAAAAATCCTTATTACACGAATGGTATCACCTTGAGAGAGGCTATTACAGGTAGTTCTCAATTTACAACAGTTCATATAGTAACCATTTTAAAGTTACAACAGCATTGAAAAAAGTGACTTATGATCATTTTTCATACTTCTGACCGTTGCAGCATCCTCATGAGCAAAATTCAGTTCTTTGGCAACTGATTTGTATTTATGATGCTTGCAGTGTCCCGGGGTCATATGATCCCCTTTTGCAACCTTCTGACAAGCAAAGTCAATGGGGAAGCCAGATTCACTTAACAACCATGCTACTAAATTAACAACTGCAGTGACTCACTTAACAGCTGTTACAAGCAAGATTGTAAAGTGGAGCAAAACTCACCTAACAACTGTTTCACTAAGCACTAAGAAATTTTAGGCTCAATTGTGGTCATAAGTTGAGGACTACCTGTACTTCTCTTTACATTGGTGTTTAACCCTAAACTCTTCAGGATTTTGTTTCTTTGGAAGACCCACCTCCCAACCATCCTTTTCCAGCAGGGAAGAGGAAAGACTTTTTGCTCTTTTATAGAGAGTTCCCATCATCACTGCTATCTTCGTTTTTGTTAATTTTTAATATTTGATATTTGGTGCTTCCCAGTAGTGGGACATTTTGCTTTCCTGCTACTGTGTTATATTAAGTATACATTGACTTTCTCTGATTTAATATCCAAGTGTATGGATAACTTGCTTTTGTCATTGGAGTGTTGGGGTATGTTCAAATGTTTATGTGTAGCTATTTCATTTCTATATATCCCATGAAATATGTAGAAATGTATTGACATCTAGATTTCTTCAACACCTCAGTAATAGTGTAATTCCCATTGGTTTTCAGCAGAATTAAGATTAAACTCAATTGTATCTGCAATATTGGAACCTCCCTACTTTAAAATGGAACTTGTACTTCTTGGGAAAACTGTATTTATATATAACTGATAGCTTCTTCCATTTTCTTGTGGAACAATTATCCTTCAATTTATATATTTTTTCTTTCTTGGGTAATAATTCCCTCTTGAATGTTTGTGAAGTAGAAATATATCTTCTTTTCACTGCCAATCGTTGATCTAATACATGGGTGTCAAACTCGATTTCATTGAGGGCCGCATCAGCATTGCGGTTGCCCTCGGGTAATGGGTGGGTGTGGCCAGGGTGGGTGCAACCTACTGAGTGGGGGTGGATGGAGTGGGTGTGGCCTACTGGGTGGGCATGGCCAGCTCTACATCGTTTGCGTCAAGGGTGCCTGTAGGGGCCTGGGCAGGAGTGCGACAGATCTGAGGGTCTCTGGCAGAAGGGGGTGGGACCAGGGCAAGCGCCAAGGCATGGTCCATTTCTTCATTCCTCACAAAGGGTGACACCTCCCCAGGGGGCGGGGCCGACACAGCAGGGGCTGGTTCCTCACTGTTTCTAGACGGCCTTGTGGAGCTAAGACTGAATGTGTTTCAGCATAGATGGCCACCACAAAATTGTACATTGGCTCCCGGCCGGCCTGGGCCAGGGCCAAGGCAGCGGGGGCCATTCCCTCACTGTTTCCAGGATGGCTTCGTGGGCCGCATGAAACCACTTCGCGGGCCGCATCCGGCCCCCGGGCCTTGTGTTTGACATGTCTGATCTAATAGCACTGTTTTTAATAGCAATCTCCATCACTTATGCAGATTTGTAATAGAATTGTTTGTAGTGCTCCTCTCCAATGTGAAATTGCATTTAAATTTAGTATTTTAAATTTCTTAGGCTTCCCTCACGTCAGATTTTTCAACATGTCGCATATATTGGAAGAGTTCCGGCAATGCAGAAAAGGATGAACATATTCAGCAAATTCTACAGAGAAAAGCATCATATATTAGGTACAAGTATGGTGTATCTATGGTCAAGCAAACATCCCTTAAAGAATTGGCTGGTATTGGTCTTTAGAATGGGGATGCTTATAAAAAAAATACAATGGGACTCCTTCACATTTTGACACCTAGAAGTAACAGAACAATGGCCCACAGGTAGTTCTCACTTTACAACTATTCATTTAGTGACTGTTTGAAGTTACAATGGCACTAAAAAAAGTGACTTATGACTGTTTTTCACACTTGTGACCATTTCAGCATCCCCATGATCAGGTGATCAAAATTCGGGCGCTTGGCAACTGACATGTATTTATGACAGTTGCACTGTCCCGGGGGTCATGTGATCAACATCTGTAACCTTCTCAGCTGGCTTCTGACAAGCAAAGTCAGTGGGGAAAGACAGATTCATTTAATGACCGCATGATTCACTTAACAACTGAAGTGATTCACTTCACTCTGGCAAAAAAAAGGTAATAAAAAGGGGGGAAACTCACTTAATAACTGCCTAGCTTAGTGACAGAAACTTTAGGCTCAATTATGGGTATAAATTAAGGACTACGTGTATTTATAACTTAAACCTATTCCCTCCATCTTTCAAAAAGGAGCTTGCAGATAATGCTTTTAGGTTGTCTTCATACATAATCATATAGATGTTAGAATATTTTTTTCTTTCTAGACATCTTCTGATATCATATCGTATCCGGGTAAATGTTCCTTCAGTAATATTTATTAGGGACAGAGAAGAGGAGGCTATAAGAGAGGTAAGAAAGAAATTTCCTATATGTCTGTATTTTTAGGATAATTTAATTGAAGTTCTTTTCTTTAAAATTGTAGTTGACTATATAATAGGCTAGTTTCTTATAATGGGTTTGTCTTTATACAACCTTAAGATAGCTAAATCTTCTATTTACATATATAGTTTACATATGTATTATATGTTTACAGTATGTGTATAATACGTATGTAAACTACATAGCTATCTTATGCTTTGTAAAGGTAGAGTAACATAATTAGGAGAAAAAAAGATTGTGAAAGAACCACATGGCTCATTATGATTACTACCTGGTGCCTGTTACAAGGAGTTGTAGCAAGACCAGCTGCTGCATGAGAGTCATACATTGCTTTACAGTCACCCAGTGACCTATGTTAAGGAACCTGCTGGAGAATAGCAATAGCAATAGTATTTAGGCTTATATACTGCCTCATAGCGCTTTATAGCACAATGTAGAAGCACTATTTGCATATTGCCCCCAACAATCTGGGTCCTCATTTTACCGACCTTGGAATGATGGAAGGCTGAATCAAGCTTGAGCCCCATCAGGATCGAACTCTAGGCTATATGCAGAGTTTGTATGCAACACTGCACTTGAACCACTGTGCCACCTTGGCTGTTATGTGTGGAGCTAAGTGGAGGAAGCACTTGCATGAGGAATGTGATCATAATCTCCAAAACTTAACTCCCACCTCCCAAGGCTCAAGATCTCATTATTTGGAGTTTTGTAATCCTAGGGTTTATGCTGGAACAGAACTCATGTGAATGAGAGCTACTTATACATACAGTTACAGAAAAATCTTAAGCAAGTCCCTCAAAGATTCCTTTTTTAATAGTAATTTTATTAAATATTGTAATTACAAAAGATTATAAGTACATTTTTTAAATGTAGAAGAATAAAGAGTAAAAGGTACAGAAAAGAAAGAAGAAAGGAAAAGGAGAAAGTAAGAATGTAGTTAAGAAAAAGAAAACAAATATATAAAAAAATGATTTCCCGCTTTATCACAAATATAATTTTTTTTAGTAATTTATCACTTTCTCTTAAAATACAACAAAGGATCTCTTCTTTCCATAAAGCCATCGATAACGCTTTGTCATTTTAGTCCTGGTGTCAGTAAAAGTCCATTAAGGATTATCAGAGACAACAACACATCTATTTTAACCTAGATCAGATAAACCAACTGTATGTTCCTTTAACTTCAAACAATTTTAATCTTTAATCCTTTCAAATAATATTCTAGATTAGAATTTGATTTTGTTTCATTTTTTCTTTGTCCCTTCTCATGAGATTCTTTAAAACTAATAAACCTTCCTCTTTTGTAAATCTAATATAGGAAATTAACCTCTTGGTTTATTATTTGTATATCCCTTGTAATTATTAATACATCAGCCTATTTCTTTTGTATGTCCAGAGTAGCATTTTTCCATGTCATTCTTGTAGCCTGGCATTTAAAAATCCACTTTCAACTTAGTCTCAGTCTTTTCAGATGTTGTCAGAGGCAGATGTTTCTGCTGATGCTATTAAAATTAACTTCTGAGTCTGTTTTTCAAAAATAACCTCCAATATGTTCAAAATTTAGTATATTTTGCTTTATTTTGTAACTGTAAGTCAAGTTTATGTGTTCTCCTTCTTTCATTATAATATTTATACTCTCTAGTGTTAAATTTTTAAAACCTTATGTTTTGTTTTGTTTTAAAAAAAGAATTTTCCCACAAGGAGGATTCTTTGTAATTAATGCCAAAAAGCACCGTTAGTCCATTTGTAACTTCCTAAAATCAAAGTTTGAACCACCTTTTTGCTGTTTATTCCCCACCATTTTTTTAAAGTTCTTCAACCTGTAGTTAAAAATTTTATTTTGTTAAAGATTGAAGGAAACTCATCTGGTGTTATCAAACTTGTCAATCAGGTTTCTAATAGCTGAATAGCAGCAATTTCTGAAAGCTTGTTAGGTGCAAGAAATCGGGAGCCAGGGTTAGGTCCAAAATGAATACAAGTTTATTTCATGTTACCTCTAAACAAGAATCAAGGCAAACTGATAATAGATAAGAGTCTCTTGTGAGCATGAAGGGATTCTAAATTGATGATGCGCTTAACCCTTCCCTTGGCCCCCGCCTACAAAATGATTACAAAAGACAGTATGCAAATATAATATGTTTAAAGGTATCAACTGCAATTGAGCTATTCCCTCATTTCCCAAAGCTCTAAACCTGCTGAAGACTGCTAGTTTGTGTTCTCCTTGAGAAGAGCAGCTGTCTGGAGCATTTGTAGGTGATCTCAAGTCTTCGCCTTGTCTGGACAGGAATTATTGAAGAGGTGTCCTATTCACCGTCTCTTCATTCTGCCTCAGTCATCTTTAGTCCACCATTTCTTCCTCTGGAGGTCCCACAATTTTCCCAAAGACTCTTAATATTTTTAATTATTTTCATAAAATGATATAGATTTCATCTCTTTGTGAGAGCCTTGAAAAAAGTCCTAAGGACCACAAATAATTTTCAAGATAAGTGGAAGTCTTCCTTTTAACATTGGGTTATGCTTGAAGCCAACACACAAAATGTATGGGATTTAGAATTTATTTATATTAGGATTGTTTATATTTATATTAGGATTATTTCTGGACAATTTCAGTGTTTTCTTTCCTTTTACATTGTTACAGGTTGAGAAATTATTGGCAATTGCTGATATGGGGCCTGAAGAAGAAGAAACTGAATTAACTCAGAATGATTTCAGGTAAATTAGTAAAGCAACTGCAATCCTGAGCTAGTGAAAAATATCCTTAATACAGGTAGTCCTCAATTTGCAACCTCAATTGAGGCAAAAATTATGTTGCTAAATGAGAAATTTGTTAAGTGAGTTTTATCCCATTTTACGACTTTCCTTGCCACATTTGTTAAGCGAATCACTGCAGTTGTTAAATTAGTTAACACGGTTGTTAAGTGAATCTGGTTTCCCCATTGACTTTGCTTGTCAGAAGGTTGCAAAAGGTGATCACATGATCCCAGGACACTGCAACCATCATAAATATGAGTCAGTTGTCAAGCATCCGAATGTAAATCACGTGACCATTGGTATGCTGCAACGGTCATATGTGTGAAAAATGGTCATAAGTCACTTTTTTCAGTGCTGTTAACTTCAAATGGTCAGTAAATGATCTGTTGTTAAGTTGAGGACTGCCTGTATCTATTAAATGCCTTTTACTAGAAAAAGACTATAGAAATTTCCAGTTGAGCAATTGAAAGACTGATTATATAACATGGTTTTTCTATCTTTATCCCCTCTTTTAACTACAGGGATGACTTAAAAACTCTGGGAGGGTAAGGGACACTTCCCTGAGTGGTACAAATTGCAGGGAATCAGCAAAAACCAGGCGTATATGCAAATATCAGATATCGTAGGCCTGTTTGTTTCATTGTTTACTCCATTTCTTGCAGTGAGGAAAGATCCATTGCGGCTGATACCCATGTGGACCCCTCCATCCACACAAATCTATTTGGAATTGATCATGAAGCATTAAATAAGCGAATAATGGAATACAAAAAAATGAAAAAGAAGGAGGGACTGGAAGGGGCTTCAATACTAGAGACACAGTTGGCTGAGATGCGGCAACACCGAAAGAAAATGAGATGGAAGAAAGCTAGGAAAACTTACGACGATGACCTTAATCCCGAGGAATATTTGATGGAGAGATACAGTAAAGATTATTGGGAGGGTGAAGTTTCACCTTTAGAGAATGAGGAACTGGAGTACAAGCCAAAGGAAGATGGCAATGAATTAGAAAAAGAAAAGTAGAACTCTCAACTTTAAATGAATTTATGAAACTATGGGTCAGCTTGAACTACCCTGTTACAAAACATCCAATAATTGTCTTGTTGAATGGAGAATATATTGCAGCTGACGTTTTCCTCATTTTTCCTCTCCTTTATGATTCATTTCCCCTTTTCCTTATTTACATAACCATAGTTTGCTGTTATATCCCACTCCGGCAGCCTATGATTAGTTTTATTAAAATTGACTTGTTAACCTGCTATAAGCCTTGTGGAATCTTTTCAGTTAGATGAGCTATAAAAAAGTACAGATAGTCCTTGACTTCCGTTGCCAAGCAAGACACTTAAGTGAGTTGTACCCCTATTTTATGACATTTTTTGCCACGGTTGTTAAGCAAATCACTGCAATTGTTAAGCGAATCATGTAGTTGATAAGTGAATCTGCTTTCTCCATTGACTTTGTTATTGGAAGCCAACTGGGAAGGTTACAAATGGTGGTCACATGACTCCAGGACACCACAGCTATCATAAATATATGCCAGTTACCAAGCATCCGGATTTTGATTATGTGACCATGGTGATGCTATGATACAGAGGCCCCCAACCTTTTGGGCACCAGGGACCAGTTCCGTGGAGAAAGGTTTTTCCGCGGATCAGAGGGTGCATGGTTTTGTGCTGCCTGCATCCCGCGGATGGGGCTTTGCTTGTTTGTGTGGACCAGTTGCTGGCATGCCGCGGCCTAGTACTGGTCCACGGACCGGGGATTGGGGACCCCTGCTATAACAATTGTAAGTGTGAAAACTGGTCATAAGTCACTTTTTGGTGTTGCTGTAACTTTGAATGGTCACTAAACGAATGGTTGTAAGCTGAGAACTACCTGTAAATCAATAAGTAATCTTGTTTTAATGTATGGTCTGACTTACTACCGGTAGTTGTAAAGGCCAGGTAGACAAGGCAGTTCATAACTTGTAATTTCATTGTCAATGTTACTGCCTCCTGAAGGCCTTATTTTCTTATGAGTTTTTATATGTTAGAATTAGCCTTGTGCTCAAGAGCTAACGATTAGGTTCTTGCCTAGCATGTTCTGACAAAATATTCCACAGCATCAGGAAATGCTCAGGTATCCCCATCTACCAGTATATGCAATAATGCTGGATATTATTTAAGCATGAAATGAACATTCACAGACACCAGGCTAAAAACTGGGAGACCGTGAATACCAGCCCAACCTTAGCTGGCTAACCTTGGACCAGTCAATCTTTCTCAGCCCTAGGAAGAAGATAAGAGCAAGCCACTTTTAGAAAATGGTGCCAAAAAACCCACAATGGCTGGTCCATACAGTTATATCACGGGTCATACAGGAGCCATTGTGGCGCAGTGGTTAGAATGCAGTACTGCAGGCTAATTCAGCTCACTGCTAGGAATTTGAACCTCACCAGCTCAAGGTTGACTCAGCCGTCCATCCTTCCGAGGTCTGTAAAATGAAGACCCAGGACCCAGATTACTGGGGGCAATATGCTGACTCTGAAATCACTTAAGAGAGGGCTGTAAGGCACCACGAAGCGGTATATAGGTTTAAGTGCTATTGCTATCAAGAATCCAGATTGATTTGAAAGTACCAAGAAACAACATTTTTTAAAAAACGACAAGGGCAAACAACCTCCATCAGAATGTCCGGAATGCTATAGGGCAGTGGTTCTCAACCTTTTTAATGCCGCGACCCCCAACCAGTCGTAAGTCGAGGACTAAACCGGTCATAAGTTGAGGACTAAACCGGTCATAAGTCGAGGACTACCCAACCGGTCGTAAGTTGAGGACTTTCCCTGCCCGGGAGTGCCGTGCATGCGTGGTTCCGCCCCCTGTGCCGGCCAAGGTGTAGCTGGCAAGCGGCAGAGACGGAGCAGGCCGACCACCAGCTGGCCCAGCCCAAGGGAGGTAAGGCACCCGCCGGAAAAGGGGAAAAAATGGTGGACAGCCTTGCTTGGCGACCCCCGTGAAATGGTCGATCGACCCCAAATGGGGTCGCGACCCATAGGTTGAGAACCGCTGCTATAGGGCAAGGGTCTTCAAACTTGGCCCTTTTATGACTTGTGGATTTCAACTCCCAGAATTCGTCAGGCAGCATGCCTGGCTGGGGAATTCTGGGAGTTGAGTTCCACAAATCATAAAAAGGGCCAAGTTTGAAGACTCCTGCTGTAGGGCTTCATTCATACAGACAGTAGGAGTTGAATTCAAACTTGAAGATATGTTTGGCTTTTTACCAATACATGTTTAGCGGTTTTCTAATGGACCAAAAGCAACCACGTTAGATATAATCCTAAGTGCAAAGTCACACAAGTGTGCTGTTCCGCTCCCATACTCTGACATTACACCAGAGGCGGTCAAATGAACTTGAGGAGGTGCAGAGTTCTATGTGCAAAAAGGATATTAGACCAAGTAAATCTGATCTTTTGCAAAGAGAATTTAGCCTTCAGCCAATAAACCAGCTTTTATGCAATAACAATAGGACCTCCCAGTGGCAGGAAATAAAGATAACTATTGCCTGTTCCTGGTTATAAGGATAGTCAGGCATATTCCTAGTTATGGCCTGTTTATGTCACTGATCTTCAGCAAACTGCCAGGTGCGTAAAGGAGATTTTGCCTATGTAGAGATGTTATGGGAGAACAATGTTCCTGGAAATCATACAATGCAAGGATTAAATAGGGTCTTGAGAATTATCTAGTGTAGCCTGCCCAGTACTCTACAGAGACCTAACCAATATCTTGGGTTTTTTGCATTTTTAAAAGTAGACATGCTATTTTAAATTATCTAAAGGAGAAAAGCGGGTGATAACTTCGACAATAAATAAAGTGGAAATTGTGCAATATTTGCCCAGGAAAAATGTACTCTATCCTTAAATGTGTAATCTGATATTGGAGAAAAAAGCAATCCTCTACAGAAGGTGCATTTTGGAAAAAGTGTTGTTACTAAATCACTGAAAGGAAAAAATAATAATGTGGAAAGAGCCCGTTATCTACTGGCCCTTATTTACTATGGATAAGAAAAGTCAGTACAGGTAGTTCTTAACTTAGGACCATAGTTGAACTCAATTTCTGTTGCTAAGTGAGACAGTTAAGTGAGTTTTGCCCCATATTACAACCTTTCTTGCCGTTGTTGTTAAGTGAATCACTGCAGTTGTTAAGTTAGTAACACTGTTGTTAAGAAAATCTGGCTTCCCCATTGACTGCTTGTCAGAAGATCACAAAATGTGATCACATGACCCCAGGACACTGCAACCATCATAAACATGAACATGCCAAGCATCTGAATTTTGACCACATGACCCCAGGGATGCTGCAAGGGTCCTAAATATGAACAATGGTCATAAGTCACTTTTTGCAGTGCTGTTGTAACTTCGAAAGGTCACCAAATGAATGGTTGCAAATCAAGGATTGTTTGTACAGTACTCGAGTTACTACCTAGAGAAAACGAGGTGCAATATATAATTCTAATAAAGATACACTCACTAGGTAGTATTTCTGCAACTTGCAGGAATTATATTAGAAGCAGTGACAAGCATCAGCGTTATTATTCCAGATCTCGGTTTTCTGATGTGTTAGCATTTAGTATAGCTGCACATGCTCATAAACCCGTGGTGGCGAATCTATGGCACGCATGCCACAGGTGGCACCCAGAGCCCTATGGGCACGTGCGCCCTCACCCCAGTCCTAGGCCTTCAGCTGGGTTTTATAAAACCTTTTCAATTTAGACTTCCACCGCCATGTGCAAAAAAAAAAAAAAGGTTCAAACAATCAATCAATTTCAACTTCTCATGGGAAAAAAAAAGATCTTGCAAAGTTGGAATTGATTGATTGAACTTTTTAGTCCTACCCAGTCTGCCGTTACCACCGCAGCCATGCCCACCCAATGGGCCACACCCACCCAACTGGCCACACCCACCCAGCACCCGATGATACATAAGTGGGTTTTGGGTTGCAGTTGGGCACTCTAAAAGGTTCGCCATCACTGTCATAAACTATATCCAAAAATACCTTTTTCTACTCCAATTTAATTTACGCCAAAAATGGCACTAATCCTTAACGTAAAATTTGTTATCTGCAGACCAAGAGATTCTATTTCCCATGCTCGACTGAATTCAGCGGATCTTAAAGAGATTACATTATAAAACTGTATTTATATTGTAAACTTAATTTACTACTGCAGCAACCATTCCGGCTGAAACCGAAATCAGCACAGAAATTAAAACGGAAACATCCCGCCTCCGAAGTACTTTTTAAGAACTGGCGGTCGAGACACCATTGGACGAAGTAGGCGTGACGTATCCGATTTCTGCCGCTCGCCCGGGACGCCACCTGTTGGTGACCGAGCGTCAACGCTACTGACCGAGACTTTTAATGGGCAGATGGGACTGAAAAACTGCGGGAGTCTGGAAGAAAGTTGTCTGCGCGATTTTGCGGCGCTCGATTTTCAGAGTTACCTTTCCTTGTGAGTTGCACCTCCTACTGTGACTTCGTGAGGTTCCGTATCTTACTCATCCCAGCCACAAATAGTGGGGATGGGGGCGGCGGCGGCACCCTTCCGATCTCATGTGCTTTCCATGCCCTGCTGCGGGCTCGAATTTCTAAAAGATCCCCTGGCGCTTCCACCCGATCCGGTGCACTCGGTGGCTGAATCCTTCCTCCAGATTCAAGGGAAGCGCCACATTCCCCTTCTTCTACACCGGGTGCTGGCGATAGGCGAGGATAAAAGCAGATCGCAGCTCCGGAGGCTTTAGGCGCAGGTCTGCAACGGGTCAGGGTCCGAGCCAGTTTGGAGTGATTGACGTGCAAACGGCGGCATGCAGGATTAGGGGGGTGATCTGCATAGCTTGTTAGAGTATGTGTGGCTTTACATAAAACAGCAACCAAAAAAGGACAGTTGCTTGCCGTGACATTGGAAACTTTAAAGCAGATTTTTAAAAAAACAACAACTTGGCCTCTAAGATGGGTAGACTTCAACGTCCAGTATTCACACATCTTAAAAATGGCAAGGTTTGAGAAACGCTGCTTCCAACTATCTGTCTATGGAAATTCTCAGCCATCCAGGATCCTGGTTATCCCGAAGGTGCTTTTTTCCAAAAGGCTACTGGATTTTCTTGGTTTTCTTTTCCTTTGAAAACGTTCTGCTTCTCATCCAAGAAGCTTCAAAGTGGGGGGGGGGGGAGAGAGATGTCTAGTTGCTTTTTGGGAAAAGCACATTTGAAGACGCTGCTTTTAACGTT